AACAAAATGACATGTTTAGCAAGGTAGCAATAATTTAGTCAGGAAACGTAGGAGTTAGAATATGGCATATATTTGTATTCTAACCTTTGACTAAGTCATTAGAAAAAGGGTACATTGAGAATAACTCTCTCTCCATTTAAGACACATGTTATGAGATGGAACATAGGACCGGGTAAAGGATTTCTCTTCCTTCCTCTCCAGGAATGTGCTCCCATCCTGGACAGCTCCTGGTCCTTCGCACTCGTGAGACCCGTGGGACTTTGGGATCCTTGGGATCTCAGATCAGAAGGCTCACACATGCTTTGCCCTGTTCCCCAGGGCCATGTTCTCTTTGGAACTACCTTCTGACTGTCTCATTAATTAGTTGCACGGGGTCTCCATGACAACGCGGCCTGTTTCTATCATGTTGGAAAATGCTGAATCCTCCACCCGAGCAGGAGAGTCTCTACCAAGCTCTTCCTGAGTGGCTGTGGAAATCCTTCCAAGGGCAGAATCTGTTGAACTTTAAGCCAGTGTTCTAATGTTATCAAACCCAGATCCATACATTCACATCCTACATTGGTCCACCTCCTGTGGAATAGAGGTGAAAACCATCACCCACTCTGGGGAAATTTAGGTAGCCCTGCTTTGCACATCAGCATACAACAACAAAGGTTTGAAACACTCTTCAGGTTTTGAACTGTGGGCACTATGAAGCATGTGTGAGCTTTCAATTTCATTTAGATTGGGAGTAAGTTCCAGAATATTGGAATCAAGTATAAGCGCAACACAATGACTGTAATTACAATAATAAAGGTTGATTGAAAATCTCTAGCTTTTAAGCATTCTTTCCATAGTGGGGAGAAAAAAGGTAAAATGAGGTTATGTGATGCATATGCAAATTGAATTTGCTATTCCATTAGGTCTACCTATTTCAAGATATTATGGTCTATTTCAAGATATTATGGTGTCTACTAAAAATACATACAACTTGGGATCAAAAAAGAAATAGGGGAAACGCATGAGCCTTGTATTTCTCATTCTAATATTTTTTGTTCACGCTGACCTTACAGAGTATTCTTATCTCTATAGTCAAATACTTTACTCCTAAAGCTTTAAAAATGTTTCAGTTTCATCATAGAGCCCCTGGTTTTGCTAAGTATCTTTACAATTGTAAATAAGTTTAAGATTAGTTTGTTTAGTGTTAGCATGTTTTTGGACAATTTTTTTTATCACTTGCTATTCATATAAATAACTAGATGAGCCCCATCAAGAAGATTTTTCCTTGGTAACCAATGAAGAAATATTCCTGACTTGCCAATGTGGTTCCTTAGAGAACAGGAGCAGTTGTCTTCCTTCTGGATTCTTCTCCTAAACAGCTTCTATTCAGCACTTGAGCAATAAAGGAGGGGCAAGCCAGTAAATAAGTGGTACTTCAACAGGGCCTGAGGATACTTGAAAACAACTTGTTTTCTTAAATGGATTAAATAATCCCTCCCTGAAGATCTCATTACCTGATGATTTTGTAAAAAAATAAAAAATAAAAAAATAACTATTTCTTCCTAGGGAAGACACAGGTAAACTCTGAGTGTGACCAAAGGCTGAGTCCAACTGCATAAGGCTTGATTGGATCTCACTGTGAACAATGTGACTTGAGGCAAGTAAGTTTAGTCCATGGCACCTCTTATCTCCTATGTATAAAAGGTAATAATAGAAGTCTTATCAGCTGGTGTTAGACCATAGTTAAAACAGTTCAGTTCCTGGTGCTTGGTAAATGTTCAGTAAATGTTAGCCGTTAGTACATAATGCAAGGATATGAAAATACTCTAAACACTAAGTTCATTGAGGTTTGAAAAACTGGAAATGATACATCAAATGCCTTGGATATAAGGAGGAAAAGGAATGGGTTTTGATTAAGATATATTCCTTTTTCACTCCTGATCTGTGCAATTCTTGACATATAGATTTGTGTTTATGCACATGCATGTGCATGTGTGCATACATGCACATTGATCCTGAATTCAAGGCCTGGGCACTGTCCCTGAGTTTTCATGTTTTAGGCTAGGTCTCTACTAATTGATCCAGAGCTCCATTTTTGACATTTTTTTTGATGGTTAATAAAAGATCAGAGTCTCATAGGCTTCCTACTGAGGCTATCTTGGAACCACAATCTTCAGATCTCAGCCTCCTGAGTAGCTAGGATTACAAGCATGAGCTACCAGTGCCCAGCAGCACATTGATTTTTGAGTGACTGAATAAATGAACTCATTAATTGAGAAATTCTCACTTTATTTGGCTTATGGTTTTCCACAGGCCTGAATGGCCTCAGGCAGGCTGTTGGCTTTGAGAAACATCCAGTAATGGGTTATGAAAAATAATGTGGTTTATGTTTTGGGTACAACTCAAAGAACAAAATTAATTGCTTTTCTGTCATCTTTATAAATTTTCATTGGTCCTTTGGTGTAAAGCAAAGCCTGTCAGTGTCTTTAGACTTAATGGTGATGATCACAGTGCTTAATATTTTAATAAAGTAATGAGGTGTGTGTGTGTGTGTGTGTGTGTGTGTGTGTGTGTGTGTGCATGTACACACATTAAACAGAGGGACAGAAACTTTTTATATAAGGTCTAATTCGTGTGCGTGTGTGTGTGTGTGTTTGTGTGCATGTGTGCACATGCACACCAATCCTGGGACTTGAACTCAAGGCTTGAGTGGTGCTATCCCTAACTTCTGTGCTCAAAGCTAGCACTCTACCACTTGAGCCACTTCCAGATTCATACTGAGTTATTGGAGATGAGTCTAACGAACTTAACTACCTGGGCTGGCTTCGAACTGTAATCCTTCAATCTAAGAATCCTGAGTAGCTAGGACAACAAGCATGAGCCACCAGCTCCTGTCTAAGATCTAACTTTTCATTTGTATATTTGGGGAGGTTTTGCTCATGAATGAGCCATTATGAACTCAAGTAAATGATTTCCCTTTAATATCTCAGAATATTAATGAAATGTACTTTTAGATTTTGAAAAGTACAACTTTAATAATCTGGTGTAACTTTTATTTTGAAAATATATGTATCGTTTTTATCTGCTAAAGATTTCTACTTATACGTTATAGTTTTTTAAAGACTTTTCAGTTCTAATTTCTTCCTCTGTTACTGGTTGTTGATTGATTGTAAAGTGTTCAGATTGTCTTCTTATTTAACAAGCCCCTCTATTCATTTACTAGCACAGGGTACAGAGTCGCCAACCTGGATTCTTCGTATTCCCTGTGAATCAAAGAGTTAAATGAATGAAGGTCATAGAACATGGAAGAGTGCAGAATGGCCAGGGTTTCTATACCTGCCATCAAAACAGACTAGAGGCAGTCAGTTTCCAGCCAGCTCAGCTCTCCCACTACATTCTTGTCCCATCAAGCTAAAGATAATGGCTTTCTGACTTTTGCAGTTATGTCACTGAACATCTGTGGCCCACTACATACTGCTCCCTACCATACAATTTCCTTCCTGAAATAAAACAAATTATTTGTTTCACCTCATTGATCATTTTGTGATTGGTAATCTCATGCCAAATTTGGTTTTTAGATATTACAATATCTATGATTTTAGTTGCATGCAGTCACAAAGTTTTCTATGTATAGAAGAACATAAATATGGTCTTCTCAATTCTTCCCAAGGCCTACCTTAGTGTGTTATACCTTCTGTCTCTCCCAGGAACAGGCTTGTGATTCGTAGTCTCTGCTACCAATATAACCTCTCTACTTTCTTGTTATAGAACTAACCACAAAGAACAAGCAGAGCTTTCTTTCTGTGGCTTCCCACTGATTTTTCACCTTTCTGAAAATAAGAATCCTGTCTTTTCACGAAGATGTGCCAGAAAGCTATCATAATACATATTAGCACAGGGAAAATAAAAAAATACAACATGAACAAGAGCCTGGGGGCTGGGCTGATTAGCTAGGATTACAAGCACGAGCCAGGACTCTGAGCTCAGGCCTATAATCCTAGCCAATCAGGAGGCTGAGATCTGAGAATTGTGGTTCAAAGCTAGCTCAAGCAGAAAAGTCCGTGGGAGACTCTTATCTCCAATTAACCTCTCAGAAACCGAAAGTGGTGCTGTGGCTCAAGGTCTTGAGCAAAAAGCTCAGGGACAGCGTGCAGGCTGTGAATTCAAGCCCCAGGACTGAGAAAATTGGGGGTGGTGAAAGAAAGAGCAGACATAAATACATCCACCTGCATTTTAGATAGGATGGTCTGCAAAGTTCATCAGGTGGCAATGTCACCTGCACTAGATTTGCATCTTTGATCTGCCTGAGGTTGTAGGTGCTATATAAGACTTTTAGTGTTTCCAATACCATTTTCTCACATAACAAATTAAATGAAGGAAGCCTAATATCATTGCTTTCTTTTGAATATAAAGGGCACCTGGCCAGGCACGCTGGTAATCCCTTTAGGGTTTTGGCATTCTTATATTTGGTACACTTCATTTATGCATAATTAATCTGTCTGAAATTTTGAAGTATAGTTCAAGGCTTTAAGAAAATACTGACCAGGTGAAAGCATTTTACTGTGCATCATCCATGAGCTGTATTTCTTATGCATACTTGATTTACATTGATTTTGGTACCCTGTATCTTGTGTACAGGTTTATCTGATTTGGGAAGGGAAGGGGAATAACAAAATGGTGAGACAAAAGACCAAGGGTAAACCAATGCAACAGCGATACTCACAAGACATTATGTTGGAAACGAACTTTACAATTTGTAGGGGAGGATAGTCGAGGGAATGGAAAGTGGGAGAAAAAAATGAGGGAGGGGTAGCAGTGACTACAAGAAATGTACTCATTACTATACATATGTAAGTGTAAGCCTTCTATATGTCACCTTAACAATAAAATTAAACTAAAAATTAAACTTGAGATAGATTTCTTGTGTTGGAAGACTAGTCTTAGAAGCATCATTGCCTTGTATTTTTTTTCTAACCTTTTTCTTTTTCTATTTCCTTCTTTCCATGCTAACTTTGCTATAGCAGACCACTTGGGAATTGAATTCATGGGTAAGTCAATACAATTTTCTCCTTAAATATCTCAGAAACACTACATTATAAAACACATATTGTTCTCCTTCTCCATCTGATTATAATTGAAATGTCTCATTATCAGATGCTATTGGTAGTTAAAAAAAAAAAGGTTTTAGTCCATTTTTCACTAAATAATAGCTGAAAATTAAAAACAACACCATATTTGGAAAGCAATTTTATGTTCAGTGCAATCCTGCAAAAGTCAGATTTGGCTCTTGGCTTTGGTTGTTTCCTTTAAATCTCAATTTTCTTATCCATAAAATAAGGATAATAATAGTTCCAAATTACTGCACATATAAATTGTTTAGCACGCTGTCTGCAACACTTCAAACACTTAATAAATGGTAGAACGCTGATTTTTAAATGTCAGTTTCATTATTTCTGCTGTAATTCTTTTCTTCCCTTTATAGAAGAATGGCTGTGGAGGCATTTGGGTATTTATCCATCTTCATTTGGAGTACGGCTTGTAAACAATTCCATTTACAAATTTAAAATATTTCTTCTTAAAGTGTTTGCAGTGCATGGCACATTTTTAAAAGCATCAGGATGCCTTCAGTGCATTATTTTCTTTATTTGTATGAAACTGCACTAATTAGAGATAATACTCCTAGTCTTTATTACAAATTAAATGATAGAGAAAGCATTCTGTGATGTTCTGAATTCATCACAGTGCAGGGATGAATATATAGGCAGGAGATAAATGGACCAAAATTGAGAAATTTGAATCCCAATTCTTCATACTCTGCCTTGTGGGCTTTTGTTGAACTTCAGATTTCTTTTTTCCTTAATGGGATGTGGAAGTGAATACTTGCTTGATATGTGTCCGTGTTACTTGTGATAATACTTATATGTTTATTTGCCTTTATTTAACCAATCACATATTCACTCAGTAAATATTTATCAAATCACTACAAGGGATGGATACATGCAAAATTCTAGAAAAAATAATTGCAAAAATGGAATACAGACATTCACTTTATTAAGCTCACAGTTAATAATCAGGTAATAAAACTTCCATGAAATTTCTCGAATCTTAAGATATCTTCTAAGCAAGAGGACATTAGCTTGGATTAGTGTGAAGGTATACAATATGTAGAAATGCTGATAGGTGTAAAGGAGGTAATATCACAGGTACAGGTACTTAAGATGGATTGCTGCTGGAGACTGTAAGAGGGAAGATTTGTAAGGATGACTGAAAGCTTTTTGTTTGCACATTAAGATGACACATGGGTCACTTCCAAAGAAAGAATCCTGACAGAAGAACAGATTTATTGGGAATATTTATTATATTGGGAGGGGAGGTTGAATTTAGAGTGACTTGGAAATTTTGAGAGAAGGTGTCAAGTTGATTGCTGTATAGCTAGAAGTGTTGAGAGCTAGAGCATTTACTAGCATATGATAAGGAAATGAGTATTGTTGAATGTTATTATTCATGATTGCTCTGTCTTACATTATATGGCAGATGGTTCAGTGCCTCCAGGTTTGGGGTTTTGCTAGGTAGAAATATTTGAAAATTAGAAAAGAAATGAAATTCAGGATATGAACTAAATAAAGCAGCATGGAATGTAAGGTAGGTATGGAAGGAAGTGAAGAAAATGTGAAAGCAATTAATAGTCTTTATGAAAGTACATGAAGGAAAGCCAAGTGCTGGGTACTCATACATATCTATAATCCTAACTCCTTGGGAGAGTGCAATCTGAGGATCATGGTTCAAAGCCAGCCCAGGCAGACAAAAACAAAAGACTTATCCAGCAAGAATTTTATCCATGGGGCTGAGAAGGTGGCTCAGTGGTAGAGCACTTGCCTTGCATGCATGAGGCCATAGGTTCGATTCCTCAGCACCACATAAGCAAAAAGAAAAAAGCCGGAAGTGGCGCTGTGGCTCAAGTGGTAGAGCACTAGCCTTGAGCTGAAGAGCTGAGGGACAGCGCCCAGGCCCAGAGTTCAGGCCCCACGACCGGACCAAAAAAAAAAAAAAAAAAGAATTTTATCCATTAAGAATTTGGAAGTAGAAATGTGATTCAAGCAACAGAGCTCCAGCTGTAAACAAACAACTAAGTGAAAGTATGAGGGCCTGAGTTCATGCACCAGTGTTGCCTCCTTAGAAAAAAATACAAAGAAAAAGAAAATAGTGAAGAATGGAAATAAAAAAGGAAGTACTTGACATAGTTGTTGGCATGAATAAGAAATTATAGTCAGATGGAATATTGGTTGGTAATGATCTTTAAGGACAAGTGACAAGAGATGAAAATTTGTCAAAGGACATTTAGGGGAGCGAGTACACTAAACTAGAGAGGAAATTCATTTGAAATTAGAGGCCAAGAATTTGAGAGGACATGGTTTGGAATAGGTTGCCTAAATAGATACACAGTTATTCATGATTATATTAAGATTGGAGAAGAGAGAAAAAAGAATTCGTCATATGTCTTAATTTCTAATAAATGAGTTTCACAGATGGGAACATAAAGGGCTTATTATATATAAGTAAGGGTAATTTGGGGCTGGGAAGGTGGCTCAGTGGTAGAGCGCTTGCCTTGCATGCCTGAGGCCCTCAGTTCGATTCCTCAGCACCACATAAGCAAAAAGAAAAAAGTCGGAAGTGGCGCTGTGGCTCAAGTGGTAGAGCACTAGCCTTGAGCTGAAGAGCTGAGGGACAGTGCCCAGGCCCAGAGTTCAGGCCCCATGACCGGATCCAAAAAAAAAGAAAAAAGTAAGGGTAATAGCAATTACATACAAAATAAAGTCCACACTATTATAATAGCTTAGACAGGATAGCAATTGGTTTTATTCAGTTTTGTTTCTTCCCAAGGTAGAATTAGTTTTCACTCCAGTAGTGGAGTCATTTTTCACCTATCATGAATTGGTGACCAAGACTTCTTCTGTCTTGTGGTTTTAATATCACCTACATTTCTCTCATCTGCCTAATAGCTAGCATATATATTAACATAATCCAGTCAATGCATGTTCTCTTCTAAGGGACTTAATCCTAAAAGATGTCCCCTCATTTTATATCTGTTTTTATCTAGACCTAAAATTCTATAGTCACATCTGAGTGCAAAAAGTCTGAGAGCCACAGATCATGATTTGGATTCAGCTTGGACAGGAAAGTTCTTGAGATACTTTTCTCCAATAAATTACCAAAAATCCAGAAACAGAGCTATAGCTCAAGTAAAGCTAAGGGACAGCACATAGGCCCTGAGTTCAAGCCCTAATACTAGCATATACACACGCAAGCACAAAAAAGAAAGGCTGGCAGATAGAATTTTAGTGGCTCTAAAAGAAAAGAAAAACTAAGGGTTTAGTAATCCCTACCATCTAAAAAAACTGCCATAAAATTTCAAGGAATTTGATTTTCCACAAGGAACAAGAGGAAGAGTTATCTTCAGGAGAAGAGAGCCCTGTCTTTGAGGGTAAGAAAATAGAATTTCAGGAAATTGGACTTTTCAGACATGATTCAAGGTTCAGTTGCAATAGAAGGGAAAAAAAGGAGTCAGAATAGAGATTGGAATGTGAAGGAGGTGAGACATGGAAAAGTAATCTCTTGAGACAAGGAGAAAATTGAAGGAAGAAGAGAAGAAAGTGACATATGGACTACAGATTACAGACATATATGGACATGGTTTGTGCATTAAAGTATAAATTGTTGAGAACGCAAGCAGTTTGCACTGTCTTCATCACTGATGTGAGCAAAGGATTGGTGACATGGAAGTGTGAATATCAGTAGTAATTTTGAGCAAAACTGGCACTAGATTTCACGGCCAGAGAAATTCACCCCATCGGGCATTAAAGAAGGCAGGAAAATGGAGACTCCCATAACTGTTGAGTAGAACGTCCACAGAACCAGAAATATCAACATAGCTGGTGATAGGGCTGAATAGATTCGGATACTACAAAAAGTGTGGTCAGGATTATAGCTAACGTAGTATTATTTATTACTATGGGAAGAAATAACCCATTCTTGCCTATGGTGGTACTTGACAGCATACCATATTGTAAAACCAAAATAAGTATCCAGAGGTCCATGTTAGAACTCATTTAGTAGAATGTTGTTACTGGTCCAGGAAAAGTAATAGGTTATTGTGTAGGTCATCTAGATGACTCTCCTGACAAAGGTTATAGTGTGGCTTGCAGAAGTTATAGTCAAATTATAGGTCTAAAAACTGATGGAGAATGAGCTCCCAGTGTATAATTCTTTGACTCCAGCAATAGCTGTTGCCTTGGAGAGATTGGGGTCAAAGCAAGTGCACAGTTTATATGTGGATAATGGCAGCTGATAAAGGATTATTTGGAATGGTGAATAGATTTATTGCATTAATGGTATACTCTATCCACTGGACACATTAATTTATTCCTGCAGATTGTTCTTTCTGAATATGTAAAACATTACTTTTAGATTTTGTTTGTGATTATGGAATCTATTAGAGTAAGATCCTTTCTATTGAAACTCTTATCATACCAAGAATATCATGTATACAATCAGGCTCAAGTGGTAGAGTGCTAGCCTTGAGCAGAAAAAACTCAGGGACAGCACCCAGGCCCTAAGTGCAAGCCCAAGGACCAGCACAAAAAAAAAAAAAAAAAAAAAAAAAAAAACAAAGAAAAGGTTATTTTGGTGATGAATATTTTACCTGGCAACCCTAAGTTCAAGGGCTACAAGCTAAATAAAGGATATTTTTATAATGTCTCATTCTTGTCTCATACCACAGTTCCCATGAAGACTGAATTTGAGTTAAAAATTGTGTTGATGGCTAAAAGATAAGCAGGATAAATGAGGCAAAAGCAGAAAACTTTGGAACCCAAATGTGCTGTGTATCTCAAGGGGGAGCTCTGCTTGTTACATGATGCAAATTAAGCAACAACAATACTAAGCTGTTCTCAAATGATCTCTTAGCAACGACGGTTGTTTAACAAGGCAAATGCTGCCTTATAAGCTCATTGGTTCCAAGCATGATGGGTCCTGCTGTCAGAGCAATTGA